CAGTCTAAGGATAAACATGACTGTTAAATGGCCATTTTTTGGCATGTATTAAGAGGTGTCCACACGTATGTGCTCTTCTGTTGCAGGTTCATCCAACATGGTGACTGGGGAAACAAAAAGCTTCTTCAGCTTTGCAAAATCAGTAAGTAGAGAACTGCTGTGGTGTTGAATCACTGTACTTTAGATACCCCCATTCTTGAAACCCATTTGTTGCATGTATTTCATCTCTGCCGGCCCCATTAAATGATTTATCGTCTCCAGTGTATTGCCTCATACGTTGGGTCAAATGAAGAGTGGCGTGAACAGGCTAAGGTGGTGTGACATGTTTTCTTTTCTTTTGATTAGATAGCTAGACAGGAACCTGTTTGGTATACCTATTTAGGTTGCCAGTAGTTTCTGTAAAGAAACATAAGACTAAAGTAAAATTGTAAAACAACACTTTATTTACTCAGTGTGCATGTCAGACGCAGGGAATACTTACCACCCCAGGGGCTCTTTCTTTCTCTGTAGATACTGTCAATATAACATAGTCAATTCAGTGACATGCTTGACCCTCAGATCTCAGCTGAAGTCCAGTTACATTCAGGTTTAAGATTCCATGTAGAAAGGTATGCTATAAGGGACATCCAGGAAATGGTGCCGCATTACATTTTTCATTGATGTTATGAACATACTAAAAGCTGAAATTATTCCTCAGCCTGTTAAAAAAAATAATGAGCAAATCGGTTCAGACCATTTGCAGACAAGAAAAAAGCCAAATCTGTCAAATAATTTTTTTGCACGGAATAGTTCAACCAGCTGTAAAAGTGGCTCTTTCTGGGAGAGAAACAAGGAGCAAAGGTACCGATTAAAGACCCACCGTACAATCTATCTGCTAAGAGCTCATTAGCACCTTAAAGCAACACTGTTTTCCTCAGAAAAAATAACTTCAAAAGTGCCTATGCAGCTAAAATCAAGACAAATAAAAGCCCCCAAAGAGACACCTTCACATAGCCTCCCACTTTGCTTTTGTCTTGTGTATTGAGCGCTGAAATGTATGAAGACCCTTGCAACTGGAGGCAGTTTTTGAGCTGAAACAACAATTTGAATAAAAAGATTTAGCGGAAATCCCAATGAAGATTAAAGCCTGATTCCCCCCCCCCCCCCCC